TTTCACATGTGGCCAAATTACGAAAGTATCATCTACATATCTAAGCCAGAGTTTGGGTTTGTGTTCAGATTTATCTAAGGCGTTAGTTTCAAAATGTTCCATGTATAATTTTGCGAGGGCGAGTGAGAGGGGTGATCCCATGGGTGCTCCTTCTATCTGTTTGTATCTTTGTCCATTATGGATGAAGTATGTGTTGGTTAGGCAGTGGTTGGACAGGTCCAGGATGTGTTTAGGGGGGTTGTGTTTGTTCTGGATAGCTGTCAAGGCTTCTTTTATAGGCACTTAGGTGAAGAGGGATATGACCTCGAAGCTCACAAGTAGGTCGCTGGGTTGTAGGTTTTGTTTCTTTATTGTTTCACTTCATATAAACAATAAAGAAACAAAACCTACAACCAAGCGACCTAAATGTTTTGCCAAACTGGAGCCAGTTTGTTTCTCCATGTTATGTCTATACTGTGACTTTTTGATGTGTATATGTTTTGCAGAAGGATAATAAACACTTTTGGAATTCCCATTTTTCTAAAAAAAATCCACATCTTGATATGACATATACAATTGGATGCCTTTCTTTAATCAATGAAGCAAATATTGACTTTTTGTAGTATTTGGCTTTCTCAATTATCTGGTACATTTCAACAATAATGCCTTATATTATTTGATTTTTTTCTAAAGATTATTTGATTTTGGTTCTTGTATTTTGTTGAAAAAGAAACTCAGGTATGCACTCCTGCATTGTGAGGCTTCAAATTTCATCCATACCCCTATATTGTTAGCAATCCTAAAATGTAGTGGTTTTTTGTTACCATACTTCAAAATTTAGCCGTAAAATTAAAAATTACATCAGAAGTGTGGATGCTTTTATTTAGCAGACAAATCTATATGACCTCACATTTTGTTCTCAGGGTAGTAAAGTAGAACTGGTCTGTTTAGTCAAGGCTGTTTGCATAATGAAACTTTTTCCAACTGTCTGCGATAGTAGACTTGTTAAAAGTGTTGTAAAAACTAAATGATACTTTGCTTCACAAATACTTCCTA